TTTTTTTCGAGTCGTGGTTCAAGCGATACGTAAATATTTTCAAATTCGAACTGAATAACAAAGATGATGCATGGAGAGTGAGGTTGTTGCTGAGGAAACTTAGTACCACTGAACATGCGCTACACCGATTTCATTTTTACCGAAAAATACCCTTTGATTAAACTGTCCAGCAATTGACTGATATTTTCGGTGAGCGTTCGTCCTTGCTTAATATTCGTTGCTACCATGAACAGAAACCCTCCCCAGGGACATGTCCCCTGCATCGAATTCAGCCTGGCTACATACGAAATCCATAGCGAGATCCAGTGCATTGCCACACGACAATTCGCTGCAAAGGCGCAACATCGAAAGCTCACACTGGCTTTCCCCGGTAATCTCTTCAATTCATGAATCACGATACACGCGGTGCTTAGATTAGTTAAATCGTACCGCAGACAAGCCATTATCAGTACAAAAAATAATCCATCCGTGCATGTCCGGATGGCCCGATAATAATCACTACCTTTAACCAATGGACAGTTGTTGGCTGCAAAGGGAGAATTAAATCCACGGATTTGTACGCGCCTGGATATTCCCTCTAAAAGATTCAACTTACACGACGGAGTTTCCGTGCGAGTATACAATGAATTGAGACAGTTATTTGGATTCCTTCCGAATGTTAGGTAGAATGGTCATCCAAACTTTATCTTGTTCAGTTCGTATGAAGTAAACGGGAGTAACTATATCCAAGGCAAGCCAGTATGCATAAAAACATGACGTTATGTGCTTTATTATTAATTCCGTTTGTTTTTAGGGTGAAAGGAGGTCGTCGATTTGATCCAGTACCACCAAGAAACCAAAGGTGAAATCTAGTCATGCACAAAATCGGGTGGAAATGTCACGATTCGAATGAATATCTCACCGGACAGCAGTCTAAGGGAAACGCGAAAAACAGCACGTGACAAATGCGCGGTGAACAGGTGCATTGAGGTGATCGAATTCACACTTAAGCCAGGTGCATCATCAACACGATTGTCACAGCATGGGAATGTGACGATGTCAAACCGAAGCACATGTGGTTAGGATAACACAAACAGATGACAGGTGAATGATGGTTTTACCATAAAACACTAGACTAGATGAATAAAATTGAGAGGCACCATTGAGTTATGCAAAGTTTAGCGGGCGGAAACGCAGGTTTGTTTTTCATTATCGGTTGCGTCAATCAGGCATAATGCACGTCAGCTTGGATGAGGATTAAAAACTGATTTACCACTCATTGATGCAATGCAAGCCAATAAATCCAATGACCAATACAATATGATAATCTCTCTATTAATAGCAGTGGAAGGTCAAATGTATGACGTAAAACCACCAAGGCAGCAGTCCAAGTGAAAATCTGTACAAAAATAAAGCGACAAAATCAATGCGTCCAGTTGTTCAGTTCTATTGGTTTGATCAGATCAGATCAGCTAATTCAAAGACTTTCCACAATAGTGCTCAGTTCAGCCATCGCACCCATTCCGTACTCCCCGCACATCAGCATTTTCTCCACCGGAGGGATCATCACCCATCCATGAATTCGCATCAATCTCGTCACCTGCTCTCCGGTCAACGGATGATTCCACATCTCGGTGTTCATGGCCGGGGCAAAGAAAGCGCGCTTTTCCCCATTAGGGTAATACCAGGCCCGACACACTGATGTAACTAAGTTGTCTGCCAGACCAGCAATGATTTTGGCCAGTGTGTTTGCGCTCAGTGGAGCCAGGAGCAGAATATCTGCCCATTTCCGTAACTGTTATTGGATTCGATTTCGCAATTGAGTATGAAAAGAAAAAAGTGTTTGATGCGGTTTTAAGGGATATCAGAATGAATGCAATCACATCGAAAGTAAACTGAAGAAAAGCAAGTAAAACAAACAGACGATTAAAATATGAAATTCATCTAACAATTAACTGATGTAACAAATGCATGGTGATCCTTAAGAAGAACGAAACATTTGCACAGTACCTCCTGGTTCTTCTAGTGATAAGTGTGTGCATGAAGACTAAGGTGTCAGCAACGCCCGATTTATGCAAACGAAATGTGATCCTTCTCACACCTAACATTAGGATACACATTGTGATACGCTAGCCAATGGATGAATAAATGAAAAATGCTTACTCGATACGGCGATTTTGCTACAATGTGTGAAATTGACATATATACAATGCTTACACTATAAAGCACGAATAGGAGGTATCTTCAATTATGGAGTGGAAAAATATCGACACAGTATTAAATTAATTTTCGTCATGGTGGAAATTCGGTTTAAACCATATATTTCATGTGAGTAAAGGAGGATTTGATCAAATTTCAAATCGGAATTCGTCGTGTATATAACAAATGAAGCGTCAACTGAAAAGCTTGGAAGCACTGGACAGCTTTCTCGACCTGGTTAGATCTCATCA